GTATTATTTTATTACATTGTAGTGTTCATAACTTCTGCATCCCAATTATATATTATCATAGTATCAAAATTTAGGATACGAGAGCCACCAAATATTATAGTATAGGAAACACTAAGTCAAGAAACAACTTGTGAGGCTTTATAAAAATACCTCATTATAAAGCTTAAATTGATTTTTAAAATTCGGTACATTTCAAGCCTGTTTTCTATCCTGACATGTATGGGCAATAACAAAACTTGATGGTAGGATATTTAAAAATATATATTTAATTAGTTCCCAATGTAAACTCATTATTCATATTTTTAACAACAAAGGAAAAAATAACAATTTCTAAAAACAGCTGAAGAATCTACAGCTCCTTATAATTAACCATGTTTCGTGTGGTAAAAACATCATAAATAGACTTATAATATTTTTTCAAAGTAAAAGGAGCAGAAATTTTATTAAAAAAGTCAAGTAACACTATTATTGGAAAGGATGAATACCAAAGATCCAACCAGAAATCTTTGACTTCAAACCAAATATCAAGTAAATTGATAATTCAAAAGTTTATGCTTCAGCAAAAAGCAAAAACAACAAAAAGATAATTTTTGGCAAATCTAATTATGTGGAAAATGGAAATACAAAAGAAAAATTATAATGAGAATGGGAATATGATAATAGATACAGAGAAAGTGAACATAGTTATCCTGATAAACTTGAGGTCACAAAGTAATCTCCTGAGTGTGCTTATTAAAAGTAAGCAGTTCTCATTCTCTTTTCAGACTTCACAAATCAGAATCTCTGTAGGATGACATGCAGAAAAATACATTTTAAAATGACAGTACTTAGTCCCACAGACAAAGGTAATTTAAAGTATGGTTCCGCCACTTAGGTTAACTGGAAATTTTTATTAGGAAAGTATTCATCACAGGGCAAATTATGAAAAAAATAGAAAATCTGAAAAGATTAATGGATGTGAAAATACTGGAATGCCTTTTCTAAGAATGCCTTATAAAATATCAAATTACAGTCAGATGATGTACAGACTATTTCAAGAAATAATTCTCCTATGTCCTCTTTTATAAAGCAGACAAAATTTAGTCAGCACACCTATGTGATTTATTTTATAAGGGTAACAAATATGAAACAAAATAATTAATCTCAAAACATGCCAGCAAATCAGTAACTACAATAGAAATTAATCTCCAAATAAAGCTCAAGCAAGTAAATCCAAGCAAATATGAATAAATCAATGTTAAATACAAAAACCAAGTCTGTCATCTCAATGACTATTTAGTTTAATCAAAGAGCCCACAGATTGAAGAATTGAAAATTCATTAAAATATTAGTAAGAGAACCATTTAGCTATTATGAAGATAAAAATAAGCGTCAACCTACTACTCAAAAAAATTAAAGGCATATAAATGCAAATATATTTTTTAAAAACTCAGAACTCATTAAATTTACAAGAGATGAGTTATAAGGATTTTCACAAAAGTGAAAGAGAAAAAGAGTATGAAAAGAATAAATAAGAAATAGATTAAAATGATAAGTCAATTATAAATCAAAAGACTGCTATACAAAAATATTGCAAAGGATAAATAATAGAATGAGTCAAAACAACACATATTCAGGCCCTCCCTGGTGGTGCAGCGGGTCAAAGCACTGCACTAAGAAGCTGAAACCACTTCTGCATGAGTTCCATTCCCGCCTGCCCCAGAGGTGACCACATGTTGTGGCAGACCTCTCCTGACCGGCCTGCTGCTCCCCTCAGCAGTATACGTTGTCGATCTGCCTATTCTGCTCCCCACTCTGTCTCTGGTGAAGTCTTTCGCCACCCCTGAGTCTCTCGCCTGTACCCCAGTTCTGTATGCACAAATAAATCTTAAAAAAACAACAACAACACATATTCAGTTAATAATTTAAATTTACAAAGACCAAAATAAAATTTTCAAGATCACTGAGCATCAACAAAGGAAAACAATTAGTTTTACACAAAAGAACAAAGAAATACATAGTTATATTGCTTCATCTGAAATAAAACAACATTCCAACAATGATTATTAATTTAACAAATTTTATAACTTTTTTTTAACATAATGAAAGGTAAATAAATTATGTTTCCAGGAGTAACTGTAGGTATTTCTGTGAAGTATTTTGGCATTGTGCATACACACACACAAAGTTTATATTCTTTGACCCAGGAGTACCATAGCTAAAAATACAATTGAAATATGGGAAAAAGTTTAAGCACAAAGGTGCTCATGTAATATTATGACTAATAGGGGAAAATAAATCAAATTATAAGCCTGGGAATAATTCTGAAGAGTCTATTAATGAAATGGAATATTATACAACTTTCAAAAATGTGTCTAGCAATATTTTGTAGTTAGGTGGGATTTCTTGCATAACAGCTTTGGAAATTCTATGGACATGTGCCAAGCAAAACTGATAAAAATCTAGTTAACTCTCTAGTTAACTCTAGATTATTTAGGAAAATCCACTATAACTTGAGAATAGCTGAAAAAGCCCCTAGAATTTGAACTGTTCCCTATCATCCCTGGATGATAGGATCAGACGGAGGGAAAAGAGGAGACAAAATAAATTATCTGTGAGAGTAACCAGATGTCCAGTTTTCACAGGCTTCAAAATAGCCTTTATCAGTATGCTCAAGGAACTAAAGAAAACCATCATTAAAAAAAGTAAGGACAGGATTGCAGACACCTGGACCCAGACAGCATGGGAGTGCGCATGTGTGAATGCTCACAATCGTGCCTACAGGGAATAGAAAATGCAGCAGCAGCACTATGGCTACAGAAAGACCAGAAGGCCACATGAGGAGAGACCAGAAGGCCACATGAAACTGAGAACTCCAGAGAGAGGCCAGAGAAACAGTACAAAGATTTGTGGGGGAGATGGGAGACTGCTAACCTGCTTGCCGCCCAGTAGAATTAAGAGTTGGAGATTAAGAAAGCAACTACTTAAAAAAACAATCCCATCTTGTGTTAAAGTAAGACAAAACACACCTGCAACTGTTTGTCTTTAACTAGCTTGATATCCCCCACCATCACTGTCACCACTGCCCGAATCCATCCATAGCATTTTTTAAAACTGTATTTTAAAACTGCCCTAAAACTTTATGTTAGCAGTTGTCAAATACTGTAAGGTGGCTCCATTTACATTTTTAAGAACTCAATCTGCTCATTGCTGACTGTGTAGAGAAGGGATCAGCCCTCTGATCCCATGGGTGGAATGGGGGGGGGAGGGGCTGTGATATATAATTTTTACTGGCCATCCAGTGAAACAAGATCCAGTGAAACAAGAGCAAAGACCTGGCATAACTCCTGGCTAAAACAATTTAGAGATATTAAAAAAGACACAAAAAAATGACAACTGTAATAAGGTCTAAGTAATTTCACATCATTCTAATAATCATTAACTGTCATGCCAAGAAATTCAGAAGAGACTTTCAATTTTGAAATTGCAATTACTAATTATGGAGACTATTCAATGCCCCTTTATTTCATCCTTGATGTGACGTTCTTTTTTTTTTTTTTTAAGATTTATTTATTTATTCGTACAGAACTGGGGTACAGGCCAGAGATGCAGAGGGTGAGAGGATTCACCAGAGACAGAGTGGGGAACAGAACAGGCAGATCGACGAAGTACACTGCTGAGGGGAGCAGTGGGCGGGTCAGGAGAGGTCTGCTGCGCCATGTGGTCACCTCCGGGGCAGGCGGGAATCGAACTCATGTGGAAGTGGCTTAAGCTTCTCTGTGCTGTGCATTAACCCTCTGCACCACCAGGGAGGGCCCGATGTGACTTTCTTTTTTAAGATAAAAGCAAGGTACTTGCTTCTGTAGCTCATATACTAAATAGAGCAACAAAGAAATTAGCATAGCCCTTGTGAAGGGACAAAAACTCAAATTTAGGAAGGATTTCATGAAAGGAAAGGGCAGTAAGGAGGGAGGTGGGGAGAAAGAGAGAGAGGGAGTAGGTTCAAAAAGTTCAAATTCAAAGTTAATTCCAAAGATCAGTTACAGAATTTCAAATTGAATTTCTGTCTGCATTTAAAAACAATGGTGAATTTTTACAAATGGAAATAATGTATTGTCTTACTTCGAAAAGCAAATGTGAACCTTATAATTTTGTATACTAGACCATCTCATGATAAAAGCTTTGAGTTTAAGTAATTTCACTAATTAATTCTTCAAGGGTCCATATCCCCAATACTCATTAAAACACATACACATACACACATTCATTAGAAAAAGACAAAAATCATAGTGAGTTTCTATATATATACCATCTCATTTCATCTTCCAGAGGTGCTGTTCTTTTTTAAAAAAAGATTTATGTATTTATGTGTATAAGAACTGAAGTACAGGCCAGAGGTGGGCACAGGGGTAAGAGGATTCACCAGAGACAGAGTGGAGAACAGAACTGGCAGATTTGAAATACACTACTGAGGGGCACAGTGGGTGGGTCTGCAGTGCCCAATGGAATTCTTTTGGAATGGGATATGATTAAAGCCAGAAAAATGTATAAACTAAAATTTAAGCTTAAATTTAAAAAGTGTGCAAACCTACTTTCATATTTCATACTAGCCAACCATAAAATCTAGTTTTATTAAATGGCCAAATAGAGACATCAGTAGGATGTAGATAATACAAACATGTTGAAAGGATATAGGAAGTAGAGGGCTGTGGGCTCCAGGACCTTGTAGCTTTAAGATAATTAATCAAAACAGGGCTCCAACATGAACAGACTGTAAAGAAGAAAAGATGCATTGTTTTGGCAAATGGCAAAAGGAAATCCTTGATCAATTTAAAAAGGTTCCTTGAAGAAGTATGGCAGTGGTTCAGCACCCCCACACCCTAATACTTGACTCTCAGGATTCCCAGAAGAGCCTGATTAGTAACCTCACCCAGCTCACTTTTTGGCAACAATACTATTATAAGAGTAGTGTATCTGAAGCAACTCCCCAAAGATTCTCAGGGAGGATTCACCCCTGTACCCTAAACCCCAGAAGTGTGGGCAACCAGAGTGAATACTCTCTTTAGAGCCCATTTCACATCTTTGTTTCTCAACGTGTAAATCAAAGGGTTAAGAGAAGGCGTGACAATATTATTCAACACCTGAATGACAGAGTCGAGCCATGGGCTGGAAGCAGGTCTGAGATAGATGAGCATCACAGGTCCATAAAACAAGAGGATGGAAATCAGGTGAGCGCTACAGGTTGAAAAGGCTCGGCGCCTGCCTTCGGAAGAGCTGATTTTCAGTATGGAAAGGACAATGTGACCGTAGGAAGTAAGGATCAGGAAAAAGCAAGTAAGAGTCACCACGTCCACCTCGGTGAAAGTCACTGTCTGAGCTAGAGTGGTGTCTGCACAGGACAGGGGCAGTACCACTGGGATATCACAGAAGAAATTGTCCACCTCGTTGGGGCCACAATAGGGTAATTTAAAGACAAGAAATGTGAGGATACTTCCATGTAGACAGCCACCCAGCCAAGTGCCCAAAGTCAGTCCAGTACACACCCTGTAGTTCATGATGACTGTGTATCTCAATGGGTGACAAATAGCCACAAAGCGGTCATAGGCCATCACAGTGTAGAGGAAACACTCGGTACCTCCCAGGACATGGTAAAAGAAGAGCTGGGAGGCACAGCCATGATAAGAGATGGTCCGGCTTTGTCCCGTTAAGTAGAGCATCATTTTGGGGGAACTCACTGAAGGGAAAAGTATGTCAAATACCGACAAGTTTCCCAGGAAGAAATACATGGGGGTGTGGAGGGTGGAGGAAACCAAAATAGTGAGGAAGATGAGCAGGTTCCCCAGCAAGGTGAAGAGGTAGAAGGTGAAGAACAGGACAAAGAGCATGATCTCCAACCTTTCAGTATTAGGAATTCCCAACAGGATGAACTCAGTCACGGAAGTGTAATTCTGCATATTTACGCTCGAGGTGGTCCTGGAAAAGTAAAGCAATTATCAGAACATAACAGCAAAAATGACTGAGAAAATACCTTTCTAGCAGACTTGTATCTATCCAAGGCAGTGGCAGCAAATAGAAAGATAAAGAGGAAAAGGAGACCCGTAATATATCTAGTTTGGCAGTCACGGAAGGGGCCGCATTGGACTTTTTCATATATTAAATAAGGTAGCAGAATAATTTACCTTTATAGTTAGTTAGTAAATATCTTACAGGGCTCAATTCTTATTATACATTTTATTTTTGGTAGCTTCTCCCAAACTGGTTTATTACTGCACATACTGGAAATATTTTATATTTTATATTTTATAATCACATCTCCAGTGGAAAATTTATGATCATCTTCTAAAACACAAACAGTGAAGTAAATCAATGTTATAGCAATAAAATAAGAAAAGAAAACAAACAGCATACAAAAAGAAAATAAAATTCATCTTTAGGTGATGACCTCATTTTAATATCAGCCAAGTCATAATTAATATTTAAAGAGGTAGGCGACCTAATGTACACACATAAAAAAGTAAACCAAAACAGAATTATATTCACTTGCCTATTATTTTTATTTTCAACAACAGTGTTTTCATTCTTCAGTATTTATGTTCAAGGAAAAAAGTATATAATTCATGTTTATAATCTGTTCTCACACATACCGAAGTTGGGTTAAGTCTAGAAGAAAGCATTGCATAGGTAATATAAACAACTATTGTATCCCACTAGAAGTGTAACTCTCCATAGCCACAGTTAGTTTCTATACTATTGATTCCACAAAAAGAAATGATACAATATTATTTTTGCTTTATTGTCAATCATAGATAACCCTAATTATGGCCCAATTTCTCCTTATGTTTGCATGTATCTTGTTTTATGTTAGCACATACGGGCTATTGGGTATAACTGGTTTTTCCTTTACCTGCAATCGACATTTGATTATGGGTAATAATCTCATAAACATATACATACTAATTTATAAATTGTCTTATTGATTATTATTTCCATCTTAACACGAGTAAAGACTTGTGCCATGAAGAAAAATCTGAAAAAATAGAATTTCTGGCATAAATAAAAGTAGTGGAAGAAGGAGCTCTTCAGATCTACATAAAGCGGATCCTTTCAAAATGTTTGATTAGATTATGATCTGAACAAAGATACAGACAGAAAGATAAAAAAAGAGTTCTTCCCACCCCACAATGCAATGTGAAGTTTGGGCCATGATAATCTAATCTCACATTAACATTCTATGTATCTGCTAAAAATATGAAGAGGAATAAAACAAAGTACTATTCTTTGAAGAGCTCATCCTAGATTTACTATAACTGTTTTCTAACACTGACCCCAAGTACCAGGTGCTAACCTCTTGGTCTTATACAACTTAATGTAGTCCTTCTGACCCACAAAAGAAAAATGGCTAACAATACCATCTGCCTCAGAGGGTCTTTGTGTGGACTGAATGAGATGACCATAAAGGGCTTTCCACAGTACTTGGCACTTACAGTAAATGCTCAGCAAAATTAGTGTAACAAGTTAATGCAGGTAAGACTAAGATAAGAATACATAGTAACAACAAAAATATTGCAGATATGAGGAAAATGCTAGAAATTAACTTGAAAAAGAATCTTTGAAATATCAAAAAAGTACAGAAAAGAAATATAGTTCAGTGACCTCTGACAAAAGAAAAAAAAAAAGACATTACAATGGAGAAGACATGATATTTTCAATAAATAGTACTGGAAAAAGACACTCATAAGAAAAGTAACTGAATAGACATAGACCTTAGTTATAATCCCTCTGCAAAAATTAACCTGAATTGATCACAGACATCGATGTAAAATGCAAAACTATTTTACTGCTGGAATATCAAATAGAACCTAGGGTATGTTGATGACCTACAAATATAATGTCAAAACACAGTTCATGAAATAATTAACCGGTAAGTTAAACTTTATTAAAAGTTTTTACCATGTCTGCTTTGTGAAAGACATTAAGAGAATAAGAAGAAATGCTACAGAGAAGGGGGAAATACCTGTAAAAGTCTCTTCTGATAAAAGACTTATACAAAATATACAAAGATCTTTCAAAGAGCTCAGTTAGGTGCAATCGCACATGTTCATGGTAAGAAGGGCATAGAGAAAACTCAATAAGAAGGAAACACCCAATTAAAACTCGAGGCCAAAGGTTCTAAAAGATACCAAAGAATGGGTGAGGGAAATAGCACAGAGGGAGAGAAAAGGAAAGAGCAGGACCAGTAGAACAAAAATTAAAGAGACACATGTCAGCTAATGGAAAACACATCTAACATATGTAGAGAATTTCTTTTTTAATTTCTAGACAAGAATATGTTCCTAAAGCCAAAATTCTAATTTGCATAAAACGCCAGAGCATAAAGGCAAAGGTTTACTCCTTCTGTTCTTGAATCCAAGGCAAGTAGATGCAAAGTTCAGTCTTGCTATGTCATCTGGTGCTGAAATTCTGGATTTAAAGTATTTTCAAACTCAGGTGTTTGTTTTGAAACAAAATTCCCAGTAGCTCAATCCCTACACTAAGATGAATTTGCAAAGGGAGCAATTAGAATCTTCTACTCTTTCCTCATATTCCTTTCCAAATACATATCTTATTGTTTCAAAATATTTCATACATTGATTACAAAATCTGCACTGCAACTGTGTAAAATATTTGATAAATATTAAAAACAGCAAAATCCCCTATTTCTTCTACCTTAACATTATCAATGTTAGTAATATTTTAGTGTTTTCCTCCAAAATTGCTCTATTACATGGTCATGGTATATTATAAACTAGTTCTAATTATATCTGTACTTTTGCACCTTTTCCTTTTTAAAATATTATCAAAATATTTTCCATACTACTCAATCATCTAAAATATAGTTAGTTAATGACAGTATCTATTCCACTGAGTAAATATGCCTATGTTATTCAACCATCTTCATTTTTTGTAATATTTAACTTTTATCCATTTTTCCTATATTTCCCAGAATAAATATATATCATAGATAGGTGACAGATGTATGATAGCTACATATAATGCACTATGATGCTATAGCCCCATAAAGTTTTCTATATTTGATATTTGATCAAGGATAAACTAACTTACATAGAAATACTATAAAATTATGAGCATTATAGTTTTTAAGATTATTTACTTTGTTAACAGCAGTACTTATGAGAGTTGTTAATATATTTATAAACTTTAAACGTTGTGTCATAAGCAATGACAATTAACTATTTTTAATATTTTTTTGGTTATTCTGCTTTGGTGATATTAAAATGATGTGGTATTGATGTTGGGATAGTCAAATGGAATAAATGAGAGGTCATAAAAACACTAGTCCTGAATAATGGATGATGATTAGTCAAAGGCATCATGGGAAGCTTTATTCAACAACGTTGTTTGGACAAATGGAGCAATAAGAAAAAAACCTCTTACCATAAACCATAAACTATATACAAAATCAATCCAGGTGTAATATAAACTCAAATTTGTAAAGTCAAGAATACCACTTTTACAAATAAAATTGGGGGAACTAGTAATCATCATGGAAACATTGATAGATAATTGAGACTAATAGTAAGAGTAAAAAAGAAAACCAAAATTATTAAAAAGTCACAGACATTATTTATAACTAGTATAGCTACTAAAGACTCATCTTAATAATATATGAAGAAGTCCTAAAATATATATGGTATGTAGAACAACAGCAGTCAAATGTGAAAGTAAGCAAATGACTTAATTACTTTTCACAAAAATATAAATACAAATAGCCAATAAATGATACAAAATCTAATCAATCATTTTAAGAATTAGGCAAATAAAAATTTTAATTGAAATAAAATCTTTCCTTAAGTAAATATAAAAGTCATCAATTACTAGAACTTTCACATTACAGAAGGGATAAATTTATGGAAGCCTTTAGAAAAATGGTTTATCACTTTGAAAAAAGCTTGGAGATATTTTCCCCACAATACAGAAATTTCTCTGTAGAAACCCATGCACATATTCACCTGGAAAATGAAATAATATTCAAGGCGTATTTTTTTGTTACAGCTAAAATGTGAACACCCAAATAAGTAAAAAGGACAAATTCACAAATAGGCAAATCAATATGTGCAGATATTCAAAACATAATTTTGTTCTATTTTTTTAGGCACTAGTTTGCAAAATTGTGTAGGTTTCAGGTGTGCAGTTGCTCACCAAAGCAACTATATATATATCACATCAGGCCTTCCACCAAATGTCCATTCACAGTCACTACCAACTATTGACCCCTCCACCTGTTCCAGCCCCCCTTTCCTTTGGTAAGCATTGGTCTGTTGATAGAGTAAAACATAATTTTAAATGCTAGAAACTAGACATTAAATATTAGTATTTGACTCTCTATATGTGTGTGTGTGTGTGAAATTTTAAAAAGCAAACTATTGTATAGAAATAACTTCCAAATTAATAAGAACGCTGGCATTTCCAAAGATAAGTGCATGACTAAATTGAAAAGTTGAATTAGAGCTTTTCTATACTGGACTATCATATAATAACAGCAGTTGGATTTATCTTTCCACAATGAATAATCACAAAACTAAACTAAAAATATAAAATCAGGTGTTTCCAGGTATTAGATGAATCAGATAAGAAAGGCAACACCACACTATAATCCCTGTCAGAAAAAAAGCGAATGCAGTGAGCAATCCATTTAGAGATGCATTCTGGACCTTGATACATGTATGAAACTTAAGTAAAGCACAACAGCCTTGTAACTTGAAGAGACAGAGTTAGTAGTTCTGGAAGAATGATTAGAGGTTGTGTAGCAGAATTCTTGGCATGACAGGTTTATACCATAAAAAGACCTCTAGATATCTTTATGTTGATACTGATCTGTGCATATATAGAATGGAACTCCAAAAGGCTGAGTAGCTGTGAGCTATAACCTGTGTCTGTGAGCTGAACAATTTCCAGAAACACACAGTGATGAGAAATATTTGAACTTTGATCAGAAAATTCTTATTGAAAGTGAGGACACTCAAGGAATTGGACCCCCAAAGGAATATGCCTTAATAATAGAGATAACGTATCTTAAATACTGCTATAGCCTCACTAGCCTAACAGATATTAAAAGCAAGCCTCAAAAAGTTCAAGTAGATCCATAAGGAACTTACTACCTGCCAAAATAAAGCCCACCACTCTTTAAAGGAAGACAACAATCAAATCCAGGTAGGATATACAAAGAAAACCACAGAAGATACATTTAATAAACTGATGAAGCCAGTGATAAAGACACATATCTTTAAAAGCAGCCAGATTTTAAAAATATCGAATACCAAACAAAACTGAGAAAGAATGCATAATTATCATCAAAACTATGCAAGACAGAAGGAAATTGAAAAGCATATTTAAAAAAGCTAAAATTAAAATGTCCATCTAGGTTGCTATATCTACCAAAAATAGCCTTAAAAAATCAACAGAAATAGGGCCCTCCCTGGAGGCGCAGCTGGTTAAATAAAGCACAGCACTGAGAAGCTAAAGCCACTTCCGCATGAGTTCTATCCCGCCTGCCCCGGAGGAGACCACATGGTGTGGCAGACCTCTCCTGACCTGCCCGCTGCTCCCCTCAGCAGTGTGCTTCGTCGATCTGCCTGTTCTGCTCCCCACTCTGTCTCTGGTGAAGCCTCTCACCACCCCTGAGCCTCTGGCCTTACCCCAGCCCTGTATGTACAAATAAAATCTTAAAAAAAAAAAATCAACAGAAATAAAGATCTATTTAGGGAAAAAAAAGTCAGAAGAATTTTATAAGCAATAAACCTGAACTACATCAAGTGTTACAAGTTCTTTACATAGAAGTAAAACAAAACCAAGAGAAAAACGATCTATAGAAAAGGATGAGTGGCAGAAAAGGAAACTTCTCTGTTTAAAGCAAAAATAGCAAGGTATGGTGGGTTTTTATGACATATACAAATGAAAAGACGACAACAACTATGCTGCTTTATGATCCATTCATTAACTAAAGGTAAAGTGTGATTGTGTGAAGATGAATATTGTGAACCCTAGGGCAACCGCTGAAAATAGCGGCATAGAAATAAGCATGTTATGAAGACAAACTGAAAGACACACCTACTTCCCCTGGCCCCCAAAAGAAAGTTTATTCATTTCTGTTTGAACATCAACAGAAGCTACAAGAATGTGAGGCTGGGCTCAGCTGTGTTTTTTTCATGTGCAAAGGACTATTAGTGCAAAATTCTTGCTGATGTTACTACTGGTTTACTCATCACCTAAAACCGCATTAGTTTTAATACAATTCAGTCAAAATAGTTTAATGGTTCCTTTCTTGGTCCTGAAGAAGGTAAAAGCTAGTAAATGTCATTATGGAACTCCTCTTGAGGGGAAAAAAAAAAAAAGAGAGAGAGAGAGACTCACTCAAAAAGTTTGCACAGCACCCTTAAGAGATTTTAAGTAATCTGAATAATTGAGTTTAGTAACAGTAGCGATTTGGATCACGGCAGCAAGATAGTAAAGAAATACTTTTGAACAGAAAATCAAGTCTTCTGGTGGGGTAGTGTTAAGTCTTAGCATTATCACCCCCACAGCCTAAATTTGAGCCCGGAGCTGACCCACATGGACATGGCCTGGCAGACCTCTGCTGTCTTGCCTGCTGCTCCCCTTAGCACTGTATTTCAGTAAATCTGCCTGCTCTGCTCCCCACTCTGTCTCTAGTGAATCCTCTAATCCCTGCCACCCCACACCTCTGGCCCACACCCCCCTCTTTCTATGCATAAATAAATAAATCTTAAAAAATACATATTAAAAAGAGAATATAAAAATCAGCATTTTATAAAGGTATTAATATTTTCTACCTATGAAATCCAAGAGAATGAAATAGAAATCAGTATCATGTAAAAGAACTTAAATAGAAGGTAAATTAACAAATATTGCTAGTTTTCATTTTATAACTATATTGACATATATTAATTGGAGGTAAATTGCAAATAATTCTTGAAGTATCTTCAAGAGAGCATTTTGATTAAATATGCTTTATGCCTTATATTAAATGGATTAGATGACATGTAAAATTTTGGTAATGCGCTCAATCAACTGGGAAAAATATTAACTTGGGAAGCTTTAGTTTCTCCAGTTCCAGCCTATGGAGAGTACTCTACTGGCAATGTATTTATGAAGCAGATTTTTTTTTCTATTTTCCAAATATCAAAAACTTTGGGTCTCTATCATATCAGGTTTCCTCCTGTTTTCATAAAGACTTTTCCCTGACAACTAAGACACACATTACAGAAGGATATTGTACCTTTTCTTAGTTATGTTAAATGAAGCTTTAAAAAAAACAACTTCCATAGGAAATATAAGTATGTTCTAAGATTACAGTGTAGAAGTTATAAAGACAGAAGTCTCTGAAAAGAAAAAAGAAAATCTCTGGATTAGATAAGGTAGCTTCTATTCTCAGCTAGGGTCTCCCACCGTTGACCGACCCCACAGGGAAGAAGTTTAATTGGTAAGATGTTTATCTAGGAAGAGCAATTCTCTGCTCATCCCTTGAGCCAAAAAAACAAAAACAAAAACCTCCAGAGCTCCTTTTCCACAGTGGCCGAAAGTAAAAGATTCATCAGAGACATGAACTGCCCCAGAGAATTGTCCCTTTGAGAATGGAAGCCAGCCAGCAGTTTCCATTTTGAATTGTGAAGATAAAATCAGAGAACCGACAAAACAAAATACGTCACTACTAAATCACTTCCTACACCAGCAATTTTCAAGTCCAGAGTGTCATGGATATTTTACTGCAAATTAATTTTTGGTCCAATGAAATCCCTTGTGGAATTATAACCCATGAAAAGCAAAATAAATTTAAGGACATTTAGAAAAATTCCTGAGTACTTATCATGACACAGAAATATTATCCTCACCTATAAGGACTCAGGGGCTAAGATAACATCTCCTGAGATATCAAATTAGTTTTAACCTCTATTATTTAATAAGTTTGTTTCTGTAGTTTGTTCTTGTGGTTTCATCTATGCATGAAAAAGAAGCATCCTATTCATTAAACACTGAGAGATTATTTAAATCTAGAATTTTATCCTACCATTCAAAACCCAGTTGAGAAATTGGTAAGTAGCAAAAGTAGGTAAAACTTCAGCATTTTTCATTGTTGGGAATAGGGGGAGGTTTACAATGTATTAATGGTCATTGTTTTTGTCTTTTTTTACTTCAACTTTGGCTTGTTTCTTTTTCTTTGTATATATAATCACATAGACACTCGTTTCATGTATAACAAATGGAAGTTAACAACTTATTGAGCTCCAGAATAATAGAACTCCTAGATATAATAAATTGATTTCATTTTAAAAACTTTATTTTTAAAAGCACATTTGTATCTGATTTATAGTAAACATAAGCACTCAGTCCTAGAACTAAAGCCACAGAGATAAAAGAATTAAAATAAACTAATTAAATAGACCTCTTTACTATTTAAGAGTATCTAATTCTTCATGGGCCTCTCATGATATAATGTGAGATGACATAAAGTGTGAGGAGGAGGATTGATGGCTTGGAGTGCCAGAGGCAGAAATAATTTTTTTAAAAAAGATTTATTTATGCATACAGTACTGGGGAGCAGGGGCCGTGAGAGGATTCACCAGAGACAGAGTGGGGAGCAGAACAGGCAGATGGAGGAAGTACACTGCTGAGAGGAGCAGCGGGCACACCAGAAGAGGTCTGCCACGCCATGTGGGTCACCTCCAGGGTGGGGGATCAAACCCACACTGAAGCAGATGCAGCTCGCTTGCAGGGCTGGGCAGCTGGGCTTTAACCTGTTGCGCCACCAAGGAGGGCCCAATAATAAAATATTTTCAGTAGAAACCTACATAAGATAAGAGTATTTGAGGAAAGTGGCAGTAATCTGACCATGTTTGCACTGGTTTGGTGACAGATTTCACCAAACTCAGGTGAATGTGGTCTGGGGTAGAAGAGAGGACCCTGGCTCCTCATCATGCGAACACCACAGGGCCCAACCTTGACAGCACTGCTCCTGCTCAGAGAGTTCGAACAAGGCAGTTTCCTCTCAGCTCTGTCATCAAGAATGAATATTTCTTTGGAGAAATTTTATTTATTGAGAAAATACTCTGATGATCAAAGAAACTGAATCTCTGTGTTTGGGAGTGTGATCTGAGTGTTTATGTTCTGCATGTCCTTGTCTCTGTGTGAGTGAGTGTATGTGAATGTGTGTTTGGGTATGTGTATGAGAGAGGGAGGGAAGGAGAGAGGGACAAGGGGAGGAAGAGAGAGAGCTAAATAAAGGCTTATTTGGTTGATTTTTTTTCTGTTTGATTGACTTTGGTACTGTAATAAGGAAATAGCCATTCCTCTTCAAAATCCCAAGCTGAACAAAGGTGCTATGTAAGTTCATCCCTTCATTCCCCCTCAGAGCTTTATGCATTTGCCATATTACACGAAATAGTTTCTTAGCCATACTGAATCTGCTTTCCTTCCTGTCAAGACAGAGTACTATATATGGGAAGAAATGACAAACGTGAGCCTGGTCACCACGTTCATCCTCATTGGCCTTCCCCGAGCACCTGCTCTGGACACTCCCCTCTTTGGAATCTTCTTGGTGATTTATGTACTCACCGTGGTGGGGAACCTCCTCATCCTGCTGGTGATCAAACTGGATTCCCGCCTCCACACTCCCATGTACTACTTCCTGACCAACCTGTCCTTCATTGACATGTGGTTCTCCACCGTCACTGTACCCAAAATGCTCATGGCCTTTGTCTCCCCGGAAGGGGGGGCTATCTCCTTCTATGGCTGCGTGGCTCAGCTCTACTCCTTCCACTTCCTGGGCAGCACCGAGTGTTTCCTCTACACAGTCATGTCCTATGATCGCTACCTCGCCATCAGCTACCCGCTCAGATACTCCACCTTGATGAGCAGGAGAACATGCGCCATGCTGGCCGCTGGCACGTGGCTGTGTGGCTCTCTGCATTCTGCTGTGCAGACCATCCTGACATTCCGCCTGCCCTACTGTGGGCCCAACCAGATCCAACACTATTTCTGCGACGCACCGCCCATCCTCAAATTGGCCTGCGCAGACACTTCAGTCAACGACATGGTGATCTTCGTCAACATCGGGGTGGTGGCGTCCAGCTGTTTCTTCCTCATTGTCCTGTCCTACGTGAACATCGTCTATGCCATCCTGAAGATCCGCACGTCTGATGGGCGCCACAAAGCTTTTCAGACCTGTGCCTCCCACTGCATTGTGGTGCTTTGTTTCTTTGTTCCCTGCGTTTTTATTTACCTGAGACCTGGCTCCCGGGATACTGTGGATGGGATCGTGGCAGTGTTCTACACTGTGCTGACACCCCTCCTCAACCCTGTGGTGTACACCCTGAGGAACAAGGAGGTGAAGAAGGCACTGCTCAAGCTGAGGAATGAGTCCGTGTTCACTCAGAGAAAATAATCAACAGAGGTCAGACATGAAAGTCATGTTTAAATGTGTAATTAAATTAAACCTCCCAGGTGAACATTATACTTTGAAGGAAACTGCCTATATTCAATCTTAATTTTCAAATGAAACTTTAATGAATTTTTCTGGTTTTCCTACTCTGTGTTTATCCAAATCCCAGGTATAGCAGGCATTTCATGGCAATAATCAAGAGGAAGAAAAGTAGCTTGTTTTTCTTTTTTATGTTTTGTCGAGTGAGTCCTCAGAAAAGTACTGTACTTCCACTCCCTACAGATATATTTCCAGAATTTCTATGTAGTATAATATTAATATTTTATTTTCTGCCATTTAAATTAAGGCATTACAGAAAACTTTACCCTTCCATTTTTAAAACTTCAATTGAATATATTGAAAAATCCACTTATAATAGTGACAGTACATTATATTAAATGGGGTCCATATGATGGAATGCTTATATTAGAAAATGTCGCACCAAAAATGATTTGTATAAGCTAATGAAAAATGTTTGACTTTTTGCTTTTTATTCACTTTGACTTCCAAGATTTTTGAAAGTAAACATTTATCCACTTATCTACTATGATTACTCAGTCAGTCACTTTATTACTACCACTACCTAGATTTTGCCCCTATATTTACACAGTTCGTGGTCTTTTATCCTAAATGCAAAGCTTCTATTTTTAGAAATCTCAAAATTATTTTTGTAAGTAAACAGAGAAAAATAATAAACACACGAAAGTAAGTAATAATCTGAAAGGTAATTATATCACTTCAAAAAACAATGACAGTGTCTTCCAATTTCAGAAATGATCCTAGGCAATACTTCCTATGTAATTATACCATGTCTGTAATTCATATTTATTTGATGTAAAGTGAGAAATGAACTGTGGACATCATCTGCTGGGTGTGGGCTTGGGCCATGAATCTCACAAGTAGTCATCCAAATATAGCCATATGTTGAAAATGTCATTTTTTTCTCAAAGTAAATGCTTTCTTTAAATATCACAAGTATTCTTATACATTACAAGTCTATACTGTACTGTTAATATAGCCAGATATTCTGAAAAGAGAAGACTGGAAGCAGATGTTAGGAATGAAGAGCCATAAGATACCCCAGATTTACAGCTGCCTTACAAAAATGATTTAGTAAGACATCCATTCATCCCTTCATACAAGACAGTCATATGTTACTCTATGTAAGCTGTGAAGCTATGCAGAAAGGAAATCATACCATGAAACCTATATAATCTATGAAATGGTCAGCTGTGTAAGAAGGAAATTATTAGTATTCATTCCAATAAATTGGACAGGAATAACCCATTCCATAAATTCACCTCATTTTTCAAAGGAGAAGACTAAAGACAAGTTGGACCACAGTTCCTAAGCCTTTAGGTTCATTCCTTCTTTGCAACATCATACTATTTTATTAAACTCACAATTTGAGTTAAACACATTTAACTCACAATTAAATAATTTTAATTCACAGTTGTGAATTAATTTTATTTAACTCCCAGTAATTACACAAAATGCTATGAGATATTTACTGCATGTTAAGGCACACGATGAACCATAAATACATAAAAAGAACAGACAGGAAAGATCTCTGCATTCACAGAGGTGATCTTCTGATGAGAAAGGAAAACAAGTTTATTATCCATTATTCAAGGTACAGTGTGATAAGTTCATGAGTGCTGAAAGAGTCAAAATATTATAACAATATGTATTAAACAAAACAATGCTCAAACTCATTTACATTTTTTGAAAAGATGTATTTATTTATGCAAACAGAACTGGGGTACAGGCCAGAGGTGTAGGGGCAGTGGAGGATACACCACTGTGGGGAGCAGAACAGGCAGAACTGACAAAGTACACTGCTGAGGGGAGCATTGGGGAGACAGGAGAGGTCCGCTGCACCATGTGGGTCACCCCGTGGGCAGGGGATTGAACTCGCAATAAGGTGGCCGCGGCAAGACTGCAGTGCTGCATCCTAACCCGCTGCGCCACCAGGGAGGGCCCTCATTTACATTTTTAAGTGTGACGTTGGAGATAAATATCAGTTGATTATCTTCATTTTAATTGCACAGTCATCATTATGAATTCTCTAAATCACAAAATTACTAGCCACAATTAATAAGATTAATTGTGGTGATTTAACTTTCAATTCATATAGAGTACAAACCATAGACCTAAAACCAGAATGACAATGTAACCATTGTGAAATATCTCAGAGCCTTGCCCATAATAAAAATTGCCCACTGTAGGGCACAGACACATCCCAACTGTGAGAAGTGCATTGCTCCCACTCCACAATGAGACTCCTCTAGTCTTGACTGACACAAAGGAGGAAAAGCATAGTCAACAGAGGTCAGAGCTATGAGGAATTAAATAGAGAATGCTGTGGTCAGGGATGATGGTCCAGGGAAATGGAGGCAGACGTAGGAAAACAGCTTTGAAGGTCAGATGGCCACTAAAAAACACTGCTATCGAATTAAAAAATTACAGAATATCATCCTCCCTCAAACCTGGCCACCACACCAATGAGACCACAATTTAATAATCCAGTAGATTTTAGCTTATAGCTGAATGAGTCCACGATACAGACTCTGAGGAATACCTTAATACCACAGCAATAGGATGCACAGCGAGACAACACTAGCACTATGTGAAGCTCCTGGCACCTAGACATACACCAGGCTGTAAACTACAAGTCAGATTGCCATAAATCCTCATAATGAAAGCCTATTTACCTCATTTCCTATGGAAAAATAAAAACTTTGGTTAATAGAGGAAACAGTAGACAACATAAAAGAACAGATTGGTAATGTTGGGAGTGACTAAAGATTTACTCACAAGGACTGAATTAGGGTGGTAAAGAATTGAGCCTTGCATTCAAGTTTGATAAAGTGGTAATAAACTGACCTTGCATCCAGGATGGGACTAGCTGAAGGTGATAACAAATGGGCCTCACATCAAGGACACAGCGATGAGTCACCCCCTTTGGAATCTGAGTTTAGAATCTATATAAGAGACTCTTCCCCCTTATTGAGTGGGCAGTAGCTGTGGACCCCACTCTAGGGACTCCGTCTCAGCTGCTGTCCTGGGAGCAATAAACTCTGCTTGCTCAGCCTTTCTGCCTCAAGTCTTCCTTTCTTGCGGCCAGTCACAGAACTTGGGAACAGACTCCCAGCGTCTGTCCCTCTTCTCCGCCTTTTCCTTTCAGGTAACATAAGCAGAGAGATGGAAACTCTACAATAGAGTCCAAAGGAAACACTCACACATTTTGCAGCAACATGGATCGAACTGGAAGGGATCACGTTTAGTGAAATAAGCCAGAAACATGGTTTTAATCATAGAAGGAGCATAAGGGATGGGGGGTGGGGGAGGGCAGAGAGAGAAACAAATGTAATAAAGTAAAAATGAGAACAACGAACAACTATAAACCAGAGACATGGTATGGAGTGGAAAGGGAATGGGATAAAAACTGGAGTGGGAAGAGGGCACGGGACTATGGTGATGACCCTGGAGACTGCAACTGAGATGGAAAAATATACAGAATAAAGCATTATATAAAAAATAAATAAATAATAATAATAAAAAGGAACCCCAAAACTAAAGAGCACTTTAATGAAAATGTAGATGCCTTTATGGGCTCAAGACCCCTCCCTTGTCAACTTGTGGGTAAGTGTGAAGGCCCGCCAGCTGGTGAGGTACTTTTGCAAATTAACACCAATATCCCTGAGCACAGGTGAAAGTACAATAATTCCTGTGTTGCACAATGTAGAACTTAGTATGGCCTCTTGCAGCGTCGACAGTCACATTCTAGGGTTTTCTAGCCAATATTACACACACACGTCTTTCTTCATTTTGTGTATCTTTTCATCTCAGTTGTAATCTCTGCGGACTTCCCACCACCACTTCGCCCATGTGCCATCATCTTTAATGTCATTTTTTCCCTCTTTGGTCAAACTCTTTTGGAATTCATTTTCATTTAATTAAAATTAGTGTGGGGAGGGAATAGAGACACTTAAGATTTGTGACGGAGGAAAACTCTGTCTTTTTCAAGGAAGTATTTGGACTTCTAACCAAGGCAAGCACAACCTTATTAAACACGATAGAAGTATCTGTTTTTTATGGGTAGAGAGATAAAGATGAGGTTGGAGATTCCAGAACCGTCTCATCCAAATTCTATCACTTGTCCATATCCTATTTTTAGAGTTTTGTTCTCTTCTAATAACTCATTTTATGTAAGAGTCCTGGCCAAAATAAGTTTATCTGATATTGTAATGAAAAATCCACATTCAGAATATGTGGTTGGGTTTAAAGATTGTTTTCTCTTTTTTTGCTGTTGTCTGTTCTTTTTGTGTTTCTTTACATTCCACATGTGACTAGAATCATATGGTATTTGTCTTTCTCTTTCTAACTTATTTAACTTAACATTATCCCTTCAAAATCATTGCTGTGTCATTGCAAGTAGCAAAACTCTCTCTTGCGGGAGCAGAACAGGTAACTGGAGCAGGTGGGGGAGGGTGCTGATGTATTTATGATGGTGAATAGTAATTAGTACTGAAATATAAGGCTATACTCCTGAAACTTGTACAGTATTGTAATCAGTGTTACCACTATAAAAATATATAACTTTCATTTAAAAAATAACAACCATACAAGTAATATGTATTTGTTGTTTTTTAAAATGAAGATCCAGATCAATAAAAAAAATCCACCAAAATGGATATGTGTGTGTTTTAATTTTTCCTGCTTCAATCTAGTGACACATACAAAAAAAGACATAACTTTGTCACCATAGAAATCCCTGGACTTCCACATGTCCTTTACTGGAAAATGAGCAGATTGAAAGCCTCAGATCCTGTCTGTAAGTTGTTACTTGCAATAGAAATTGCTACTCCTCTCCCAGACACATTCTATGGCACCATTTACATAACCACTCAAATGGAACACATGTGAGGTGAAAGGTTAAAATAGATAAGGTCTTCCAAGATCAAAGATCCATTTTGAAATTTAGAACCATAGTCTCAGTCTGTACTCAAGAATTCATTTACCTAGAATTATTCTACATAAATCTACATTCCCATCAGGGATATCACAGTACAGGAAAACTCCCTATTATGGGAGAGTTAGGTGTCTGTAGTCCTAAATTTCTTTCATCTCCTTTTGTATACGTAGAATGATCTATTAGCAGAACCCAAAATTTGCCATAAATTTAATAGCATTAGAAAGTATAGAAAAACTAGGAAATTATGTCTTTGCAATAGGGACATGTACTAATGAGTACACATTAAATTACTGGCCTTTGGCCTTAAGGAAGAATGGCTTTTTTTTTTTTAAAGATTTATTTATTTATTCATACAGAACTGGGGTACAGGCCAGAGATGCGGAGGGTGGGAGGATTCACCAGGGACAGAATGGGGAGCAGAACAGGCAGATCGACGAAGTACACTACTGAGGGGAGCAGCGGGCGGGTCAGGAGAGGTCTGCCACGCCATGTGGTCGCCTCCAGGGCAGGCGGGAATCAAACTCTGCAGAAGTGGCTTAAGCTTCTTAGTGCTGTGCTTTAACCCACTGCGCCACCAGGGAGGGCCAGAATGGCTTATTTTATTAGATTAAGTCTAACATTGTATCTCACAATGTTCTTTATAAGCTGTATACCAACAATGATTCAAATGATTACAACATATTTAAAAGAAGACAAAACATACTTTAACAAACACTTATTGATCATTAGTTTGTCCAACACTATTTCACAACTACTTCTTCCTCAGTGTTGAGTGAATCCCTATCATTTTGTACATAAACTTGTCTGGGAAAGTCTTATTCTCTTTCAAACTCTGTTTTTCATGTGTAAAATGGGAGTATGTTCAATATTCTTTCTTGAAGTCCTTCCAGCTCTAATCTTGTTTGAATTAAGAAACTGACAAGTTTTCCATACTCCATTTTCATCTCTTATTTGTATGTTGGATGGTTTAGACTTTCTGTCAGAAATCCTGTTATCTATCCTAGCACATCATATTAGTAAGTTACTCTTTCCATCTAAATTAAATCCAGAACACACTTTTAAAATCATTGACATATGGCACTGATGTAACACCTTTAGCTTTAAAGTTCTTTCAGATTCCATCCCCATACCTTTATGGAATATGAAAGTAAGCCAGAATAATCTCCAACACACAAGCAAGAAAACTAAAACCCAGAGAAATGAAGGGAATGACCCTTTCTGACTCCTAAAAAAGAGCATCTTCCTTTGGATTCTGTGTTACAGGGATAATACCAGCAACCAAGTACATTTCCTGGAATAGCTGTAGTTTATGTTTTGATGGTAACAAAGCCCTCAGTGACTTACTTCCACATAAATTAATTGCCCAAAAGGGTGACGCAGAACTAATAATGTTAGTCCCTCACCCCTATCCCAGGGGGACTCCTAGGAGGAGAAATTGCTCGCTAGAAAACAATACTCCAGAGGTCAAAACTTAGAGATGTCACTGCCACTATTTCAAAAGATTTAAGAAGAGGAAAGATGAGGCCAGATTGTGTACAGAAAGAACATAGTGACCAAGCGGCATGTCAGTGAAGGAGATCAGGGAACCTCTCACGTTGGTAAAGAAGCATCAACAGGAAGCAGCAGAGCGCAAGAACAAGCTGAGGGAAGCAGCAGGCCATGGCCTCTCTGAAGATTCACCTCCAGGTAGTGGCTACTACCAGAAAAGACTCCTGAAGGGAGCCAGAAGTGTAGGAACAAAAAGTCTCTGAAATGTATATTTATTTGAATATAGAGATTTTAGAGATTTGGGGAACCGAAAAGACAGTTGAGTCCTCCTAATAGCATAATGCTTTACAAATAAGTAGTAGTGGAAGGGAGAACCTTTGTACCCAACTCACCAAAGGCAAGTCTATCATTCAGTTTTCTGACACAGGTGGCAAGCAGGGTCTACTTTTAAGCACATTCAGTTCACACAAGGTTTGAAGTGGTCAGATGAAGCTTGTATTTGGGTGCTAATGTCTTTTTCTCCCAAGACTGCTTGTCTTTTCCCATTACACATATGAGTATGCAATATATTGATAACATAATGTGATATGAATTATAACGTATACACCAAATAAGTAGGATAATTGGTAACAGTTAACCAAGGTATAGTTTCCTTTTTTCCCAGTGAAAACAGATGATAGCTACATAGAGAGAACAATAAATTAAAAAAGTAAAAGATGTCTGAGATGTCAAGGAAGCAAGGAAACAAGAAAAAATTAAAATTATAATGCATAAGAGAAGTTGGACTAGGAGGAAAAATTAATTTTCTGAAAGTGAGAACAATATTTAAAACTTGAACTGTTATAGATTAAAAAATAATTGAGATTTTTTTTGTGGGGGGATCTTTTCTAATTTTTGCTCCCCCTTTTTTTCCTTAACAAGCAAGATATTAAGAAATTGACACTAGGACCTTTTCGAGACTTGTCCAGAATAATATAGCTCTTCAGTAACAACAGGTATATTTCTGGGGAAAAGAGGAAATTCCCCAGGGAGTTCTTTTGATTGAGCGAACTGATATAAAACCTAACTGATATTCTGCAACAATCCTGGATTTCGTGTCTAGATAATAGGGACACTCACATAGACAGGAACACAAGTTTTCAATAAGATTTAAAAATCTATGCAAGGTATACCGCAAAATTGGGATGGAAAGAAACAGGAGACAGAGTCTCTGTAAAAGCTCATAGTCTGTAAGGGCTCGAGCCTGTGAAAGAGTAAATTGTAGCATGCACAGTAGATCTATCACAGGAACATGACGTGCTGTGGTTTTTAGAATGTGTGATTATTTGGGGCAAAAGACAGGAAAGACTTTCTTTAGTAGGTAACACATAAACTTGAAAAATCCATAGGCCATTTTGGATTAAAAGGACTATTGTGTAGGAAAATAAGAATATTTTGCTAGGGCACACTTTTGTGGGAAGGAGTGGCAACAGGAAACTAGGGGGAGGGCAAAGTGACACCAAATTTTGAGGGTCTCTTTTCCCATAGGCTGTGCACTAAGTTTGGGCAACGTGGTGCCAGTAAAGGCTGTTAATCAAGGATATGTCTAGGAAATCTCTAAGTGTTTCCTTTAAATTGGTTTCCTCTCAAATAGATTCTGTAATTACCTATTGAGAGACTATGTCTATCTGGTTTAGAACCTTTGCTTGCCTTTAAATGTGCTAAGATTTAAAATGGAATATATTATAACCAGGAAATGGTTCAATTCCCAGAAAACTTTTTTTTTCCACTGAAAGAGTCTCAGGGGTGGGGGGCTCCTAAGAATATTGAGGGAGATAAGATTTGGGGGAAGCACTGTGAGAAGGAGATGATGCACCAATGAAAGCCACAGCTGCAAACTAGGTTCTTCCATTTCATACCCAATAAGAACTTCTAACTGATTCTGGAAGGCATCTGAGTCCTTAGACTCAGTAACACTTTATATTTTGCTGACAGTTTGTGAGAAGACTGTTCAGGCAACAATTAGTGAAAGGAAGGTGTCACTAGGAAGCCTACATGGCTGGAAGAGTTATGATACCCTCTGAGTTACCCACTTGGTTTCTACCTTTACTGTGGCTGATGCCAGTCACTAGCAGTTCTGAGAGAAAAGGATCTTTGTTATGCTGCTTCAAATTGGAAGGATTTATGCCAAACCAGTGCATGGCACATATGAGGTACACATGCAATGACTGAGTGTGCCCAATAATACAGGGCCACAGTACACTTAATGGGAATAGCTAATGTTTATTGCATGCTACTGTAAATTAGTTTATTTAATCCTTACAACAATCTCATAAAGTGTGAGATATGATTGTTCCCAGTTACTGAAACAGGCTGAGAAAGGTGAAGTGATTCTTTCCAGATTACCAACAAGTGTAAGTACGAGAGCCATGATTTAAAAAAAAATGTCTTCAGATACCTTAATTTTAAAATATATGCTACTTTACTGAATGTACAGGTAGAGAGAAGGGTGGGTAGATGGATTGATGGATGGACGAATGGATACACAAGGGCACTTGTCAGAAGGAAAGAAGAAAGAAGACATCTTAATGAATTTGTCATGGCATATGTATCTTTGAAGTCAAATTTAGATATTTCGAGCTACAGTTCAAAGATTCTGAATATATGATGTTTGATGTATAAACAAATTGTAGCAGATATTTTAAAGCTGCAGATTTTTATTAGACACATTTGCATTAGGAATTCTAATGCTAATGTTCTTAAGAATAAATAATATGTAACTTTATTCTCTGGCACACAGTTCAGATAACACACAGAAGAAAATCAGAAGAGTCCATTCCTTCATTGACTGATTTAGATTTATGGTAATGTTTCTTCCGACATTCATGGATCTTCCTTCACTTCTCTGAATTAAATATGCATAATCTGTTATACAGTGTTTAATATGGAAGAAAACCCTGTAACTAAGCAGAATCACAGAAGCAGGATAGTTGGGGGGTGGGGAGAGAGGGATAGAGTGAAAGTGTGAGGAGAAAGAATGATTAAGGACAAGAATTGCAGCAATAGCAAGATCTCTCCGCCTGAGATCATTTTCTGTCCATATTTGGGAGTAACACAGAATATATGTGACATGCCTAGAGAATGTGTGGAACACTGAGCTTTTCTTTCTGCTACTTCTTTGGGCAGGTGTAAACAACAAGGAAATGCAAAGTAGAAACCAGACTTCTGTATCCCATTTCATTTTGGTGGGCCTACACTACCCCCCACAGTTGGGGGTACCACTTTTCTTGGCATTCCTTGCCATCTACGTCCTCACTGTTTCTGGCAATGGGATCATCATCCTCACTATCTTGGTGGATGTCCGACTCCACCGCCCCATGTACTGGTTCCTATGTCACCTCTCCTTCTTGGACATGACCATTTCCACTGCCATTGTTCCCAAGATGCTAGCTGGATTTCTCTTGGATAGTAGGATCATCTCCTTTGGGGGCTGTGTGATCCAACTTTTTTCTTTCCATTTCCTTGGCTGCACTGAATGCTTCCTTTACACACTCATGGCTTATGATCGTTTCTTGGCCATTTGTAAGCCCTTACACTATGCAACAATCATGACCCGTAGTGTTTGTAACTATCTGGCCTTTGGCACCTGGATGGGAGGGACCATCCACTCACTTTTCCAGACAAGCTTCATATTCCGACTGCCCTTCTGTGGTCCAAATAGGGTAGACTACTTCTTCTGTGACATACCTGCTATACTGCGCCTAGTCTGTGCCGACACCACCATCAATGAACTGGTCACCTTTGTGGACATTGGCTTCCTGGCACTCACCTGCTTTGGGCTCATCCTCACTTCCTATGGCTACATAGTGGCTGCCATCCTGCGTATCCGGTCCGCTGATGGGCGCCGCAATGCCTTCTCCACCTGTGCTGCCCATCTCACTGTCGTCATTGTTTACTATGTACCCTGCACCTTTATTTACCTTCGACCTGGATCACAGGAACCCCTGGATGGGGTGGTTGCTGTCTTCTACACTGTCATCACTCCCTTGCTTAACCCCATCATCTACACACTCCGCAACAAAGAGATGAAGGCAGCGCTGTGGAGACTGGTAGGGCGTAAGGATATGCAACCTCAGTGACTCCACATATTTCACTAAAATTAGGGCAGTGGGCTGGGGTACCAGATAACTGTGGATATTTAATACAGAAAGAGAAAGAATTCTAGCAAAGATTAGAGGGATGTTAGGTACAGAGGAGGGAACTCTAAAATTCCACATAACCTGTTTTCCAATACAGTTTTTCATTTCTTTCTTCAATGCTAATGGAAGAAATATTTGAAAAACCTACATCTACCAAGAGATTGAGATTAAAGATCTATAAAGACCTCATACAACTCAGCAAAAAAAAAAAAAAAGTGGATAAACAACAAAAAAAATTTGAGTAGAACAGTTAAATGGGTTCTTCTCCAAAGAAGACATAAAAATGTTCAACAAGCCCATGAAAAAATGCTCATCATCACTTATCATCAGGGAAAGGCAGATAAAATCACAGTGAAATACCACCTCACACCTGTAAGAATGACTCATGTCAAAAAGACCAGAAGCAATAACTTCTGACAGGAATATGGAGAAAAATGATCATTGTTGGTAGGACTATACTCTGGTCTAATCTAATGGAAAATTCTCAAAATATTAAAAATAGAATTACCATATGATCCAGCAAGTCCACTCCTAAACATATACCCAAAGAATACAGAAACACTAATTCAAAATGATACACACAACTCCACATTCATTGTAGCACTATTTACAATAGCCACGCTATGGAAACAATCTAAGTACCCAAAGATGAATGAATGAATGAGTGGATTAGGAAGATATGAAATATATACACACAATGAAATACAACTGAATGATTTTAAAAAAAGATGAAATCCAGCCATTTGCAACATGATAGAAGTGGAAGAAAGTACTGCTAAGTCAAAGGGACCAAAAAAATACTGGATGATGTCACTTATAAGTTAAATATGGAGAAGACAAAGGGTCAGATAAAACAGAAATTATTATAAATGACAGAAATATGACTGTAGCATCAAGGCTACCAGAGGGGCTGAGGAAGGGGGGAAGAGCAAAGTGGGAAGAGATACATGGACTACGGTGAAGAACTATGAGTGGCTGGGTGGTGGGTGTGGTGTTGTGACATGCATTTGAAGTGTGTATTCCAATACCTCCAAATCAAATTCAATATTGTAAACTAATGTTACATCAATTGATAGATAAATTCAATAATAAATAAGGAAATAAATTTGATGAATGGAGAATAGGGGTTCACTGAGTAGGACTCTTGGGTCCCTCTGAGATGGATTTTGGCAGTTTTCTATTCAGTACACTCTAAGTTTATTAATGCATGTCAAGTTCATTAAGGAATGAAACAGAAAATGGACTTTTGTATAGACGTGAACAGGCAAAGTCTGCATTTTAAAAGTAAGCTAATTAAAGAGAAAAGGAAAAAAGGGGAAGGGGATTTTGCATAGGTGCGAAAGGGCAGATCTTCAAGTGTAAGAAACTGTATTTTTTCCATTTTGCCAGAGCATAAGACATCCTGATATGGTATTCTTAGATGGAATTTTTTATTGTCTTTGGTGGAATTTCTCACTTTGGAGTTAGGTTGGTTTTCTGCAAAAACTTTTTCTTAAGATTTATTTATTTATGTTTATAGAACTGGGGTAGAGATGTGGTGGGTGAGAGGATTCACCTGAGACAGAGTGGGGAGCAGAACAGGCATTGATAAAGTACACTGCTGAGGGCAGTAACAGGTGGGTCAGAAGAGGTCTGCCACGCCATGTGGGTCAGCTTTCTGGCCAGGGATCGAATTCCTGCTGCAATCGCTTCCGAAAGCTTCATCATGTGGTGCTTTAACCCAGTGTGCCACCAAGGAGAGCCCTGCAAAAACTGTTAAATATCTCCACCCTACTGCCAACTCCTGGCCTTGTATAGATTGTACTGAAGGTTTCAATAATGAAGTACATCATTCCTACCTCCACACATACTCATCCAGAAGGCAGGCAGCCTAAATGACAGGGGACAAGGTGACTGGCTTCGCCAGCAGAGACTTAGATTAGTTATAGAACACAATCAGTTCTTCAAGTTTCCAGAATGGACTTGGAGAAGTTAGTGGTTGTTCAAGAGGAAGCACTATAGAGAGTGCAATTCAGTGAACTGACAGTTAATCCTACAAGGGTGATACAATTCATTAGTCAGAGTTTTATTTTGCTTATTTCTAAATTTTTTGTTCTAAGCTTTTATTACCACCATGATTCCTCTTTTTCAGCTAAAATGTGGTTGATCAGAAAAATAAAATTAATTTTATGGAATACAAATAAACTTGGCTCCTTAGTATTAATATTTCCACTGTTCTATACCAAAAAATTCATGAAAACTAAAAAAACACAAAAGATATTTTTGCCTGTGTTTCTCTTAGGGAGATGTGACATATGTAAATGGAACATTAAAGTAGACCAAGGAAGTATATGCTTAGGAATTTATTACTATTTATATTTATTAATAACCTAAGTTGCAAGAATGCATAAATCAGTGTGAAATAAATTATTTATGAAGGGTTTAATAGCAGATGTAGTGTTCAAACTTAACCACAGATAAGAGGTTTGTGACAGTAAAGAGTAAAGGAATTCCATTCATGCTAAAACATGGAATTAGGCTGTGATAAGCTCAGGGAGAGGTTATGGCAAATTGAGAAAGAAATGTGGCAAACAGCACTTCAGGCAAGGGCATTTAACTAAAGAAAAAGAATTTGAAGATAAATGATTTGTAACAATAATGGAAACCATTTACAGATAATTTTGACTACAGAGACACAACTTAAACCCTGGGGATAGGAAACAGTAATTAAACGCATAGATTTCAGAAGACTGACAAGAAAACTGTATTCAGAAACATTTGCCATATGAAAAATTGAATGAGACCTGGGACAGAAAATACCATTGTGAAAATCTAGGTATAAAAATCTCCAGAGGCAGGGGTAGGTAAAATACTTGAGGACTGAAGAGATAACAGAAATAATCAATTCAAAGAAACTTTTCATATAATGCAACATCAGATTAGATTTAGGGTGCACAGGATATAAAAAATCAAAGGGAACTTTCAAATTTCAATTCAAACTCTACTAAACCCGGGCCAGAGAAATCAACCAAACCCCACTGGATCTCTGACCCACAGAACTGTGAGAATCCACAGGTGGTTTTTTATTTTGTCTTTTTTTTTTTTAAAGATTAACTTTATGGAATACAAATAAACTTGGCTCCTTAGTATTAATATTTCCATAAAGGCATAGGAACCATTTCCCCAAGGACAGAAACATCACTTTACAAGACAAGTAAATATACTGAACAATTTATCTTGGTAATTACTCAGTCAATTCTCTAAGGCTTCATTGTCATGCACTTGAGAGTTGGTTTGAGTAGTTGAAATTCCAAAGAACTCCCTCTTGGTGAAAAAAGGATGGGATTGCTGTATCCCTGACTGATGTAATAGTCCACATGCTAGATTGGGCTTGTCAGAAGACAGGATGCAACTCCCCAGTGACCCACAATAAGAACCTGCCTGTCCACATCTGCAGCATTGCAAAGTAAATTAAGAAATCAGAGGTAGCAGTAGTCTGGAAGATATGCAAAAGTATATACTCTAGGAGAGTAAGAACCATATTTATATTGACATTATTTAGGGAGTACATTTATACAAATTAGCCTTGCAATCCTTTATAAGTCCCACAAAGATGAAAGATTCCATACCGCAAGATTCATTGCAAGGGGCTGCAAGAAAACCTTAGAACAGCCCAGTCAGTCAACTAAACCTAGATAAATTTATCTAGTTTAAAGTTCAAGCCCATAAGGACAAGGGCAAATAGCTAACAGGTACTTCAGGAAAATGAGATGGCTATTTGTATCAGCTAATGTCAGTTATGTTGCAAAGGAGCTAACTAGTCAGTCTGCGTGAGAGGATGGCTTGGAAGACAGAGGACCCCAACCAGACAGAGGTGAGCTACTTCTTCCTGGAGAGCCTGATGTACACGGCTGAACACCCGAGCCTCTTCTTCCTCCTCTTCTTTATCATCTATGCCATCACAGTGACTGGAAACCTCCTCATTCTCCTAACTGTGGGCTCTGATCCTCACCTGTCTTCACCGATGTACCACTTTCTGGGACACCTCTCCTTTCTGGATGCATGCCTGTCTACCGTCACAGTGCCCAAGGTCATGGCGGGCCTTTTAACCCTGGATGGGAAGGTGATCACCTTTGAGGGCTGTGTTGTACAGCTTTACTGCTTCCACTTCCTGGCCAGCACCGAGTGTTTCCTGTACACAGTCATGGCCTATGACCGCTACCTGGCTATCTGTCAGCCCCTGCACTACCCAGTGGCCATGAACAGGCAGATGTGTGCAGGGCTGGCTGGCATCACTTGGGCCACAGGTGCCGTGCACTCCGCAATCCACACCTTCCTCACCTTCCGCCTGCACTACTGTGGGCCTGACCACATTGACTACTTCTTCTGTGACATTCCCCCTGTGCTGAAACTGGCCTGTGCTGACACCACCATTAATGAGCTTGCCATGCTTGTCAACATAGGTGTTGTGGCAGCAGGTTGCCTGATCCTCATCACCATATCCTATGTCTTCATCATAGCAGCTGTGCTGCGGATCCGCAGCTCCGCCAGCCGCCAGCGGGCCTTCTCCACCTGCAGCTCGCACCTCACAGTGGTGCTCTTATACTACATGCCCCCTGTCTGCATCTACCTGCAGCCTAGCTCCTAGCGAGGTGGGCGCTGGGACGCCTGCTGTCTTCTACACTATGATCACTCCCATGCTCAACCCTTTCATTTACACTCTGCGGAATAAGGAGGTAAAACGTGCACTGCGAAGACTTCTGTCCAGAGGCTCCCCAGAGTCTCCAGCGGGCAGCCCGTCCCCTTAACATACCGTTGATGTTTTTAATTTGCCAGCCAGGAAGAAGCTGTTCCTTGATCAAAATGTAAAAGGAAATTAATTCAAGTGTAAGTTAGAATAATTGAGCTTTAGCTCAAATAGGAATGTTTTTCTCTCCCTTTAGCCAAGTGACCTGTTCCAA